AATTACTTTTTGTTTAATAATTCATTGTTCAAGAAAGCTAAACACTTCAAATTTCACGTGCAGATTTGCGAAAAGCCGAGCTACAAAATTATATAAATAATTGTTACGCTGGATTTTGTGAAGTATTTTAGATTATAATTGATGTGCGGTCTCCATTTTTTACCGAATATCGCATAGTAACGGCGCTCTTTTTTTTTATAAATCTTGATAAGTCCAAAAGTTAGCATCAAAGTCTTTACGAGATAATGTGTAAGATGTGTGAATGCCCAAAGAAAAACCTATGCCTCGCAAAATCTTCTCCAACGAAATAACTTTTGGCAATAACGAATCACAAGAAGCTTTTTTCCGCGAATCATTCTCAATTATGAGTCTATGTTTATTACGCAAGTTATCCAAGGAATCCATAGCCTGAATTAATGCATTATATGCATTTTGCATTTCTTTTTAGAATATATCTCTACAAAATCTTCGGTTATCTTTTTATAAAATGATGCAAGATTATATTTCTGCAAAGCAAGTCTATGGGCCGGATCTATATCCTCTTCTCTTTCTAAACATTTAAAGCCTCCATATCATCCAGCACACGAGCATTAGCAATTAATAAGCATGTTTCATGTGTAAATCTTTTTAATTGCGCGTACTTTTATTAGCAACTTTTTACCCTCATTGTCTTCTGAGACTGCTGAATCAATAAAGGACAATACTAACCGTATATACACATTCACTAAGACGATCAGCCAATAAACCTACAAAATCGTTTCTTGACGCATTGCGGTGAGATGCATTATAGGGATGAGTTTCGGAGTATACTTGGGGTTGAGTTCTATGAGCAAGAGAGCGTCTACCTGAAATAATGAGAGTTGAAACAGAAGTTCCATCAGAACGATGAAGCATTTTTATTTCTTCATATCTATAACAATGTGGATATTCTTGTCGGATAATCCATCCTTCTGGTTGGACTTTTTCTGAAGTATAAGACATTCTCTTGGACATTAAGGTATTTATATTTTCGCCAAACTTAAATCATCGCCAGAATCGCTACTGTATTCCGAGTTTCGTCTGACAAATAATCATCATCAGAGTCCGCTTGTCAAAATTTATCTTTTTCTGCCATACCCAAGCTATAAGGCATTTTTCGAAAAAATACATACATAAGATGTGATCTATTTTATTAATTTACAGTATATATAATACGTTACAATTAGTTTAATTCAAAAAATAATTAATTATATAATGACATTACGCCAAAATATGGATACGGTATGAACATGACCGTGGAACGGGATGCTAGCAATTATGTAAAGTATGTGTGATTGCAGAATCTATAAAGCTGAAAAACTTTAATTTCTATATTGAAGGTGAGCTTTACAAGCCATGTTTTATTGCTTATAGGCAGTGAAGATTTTCTCTTTGAAGTAGGTCGCAACACAACACAACACGCATGAAAAGTCGCCTCATAATTATAGTGTTCGCTAAGGATGTTGCTCTCATACAATTTATGAAGTATTCAACAGGTATACTACTCATAACCGGGTCACCACTGTTGACATGCCCCTCTTCGAGAGCTTTTTGAAAAGGGAACGACCTGCAGGAATACCTTCCAAAAGCTTTCTTATTTCTCCGAACAACTGCATCTTATAATCTAATGAAAGTAGGAATAGTAGACTAAAACGAGCAGTTTACGTTGATAAACAGGAATTACAGGAATGAGCATACCATCAACTACATTTTCAGAAAGAGAGCGACTTGCAAAATTCACAAACTGTTGCAACAGAACAAAGCGCCCACCCGTCAGATATTGCACCGTATCTTCAATAGTTTTCATCTTTCTTATCCTCAACATCTTCCTTACCAGTACCGAATTTAAATCACTACTTGAAATTTTTCCATCGAATAGAACTTTGACCTTTGCCATAATATAGGGGGAAACATACGAATGAAGTTGGATACAGTGCGTCATCGATAGCAAAAATCGCGGTTAAGTTTATTACGTGGCATTTTTATTCTGCCAGAAAAAATTACTCAATATTTGCATTTGATAATAACCTTTTTTACCAATGTATGGTAGATGTAGGGCAAAATGTCGCAATTTCAATAATATTTATACCTTTTGTTTGCATTCTCGCGATTTTTAAACGCAACCCTCTAAGAACTTTTACTTTCCCCCTTTTGTGTGATAACCATTGTAATGAACGGTGTCAATTGGCTTTATGCCCATAAAGTTTATTATCTCTAATTATTGTATGAACCTTTAAATCAAACGATATAGTTCTGTAATTAATTAATACTCCACCATAATTTCAAGTGCATGTAAACAATATTTTGCCAATGTCATTCTGGGGTCGATGATCCCTCCGTAAAAAATTTTTCAACGATGGTGTTGTGTTGATATAATGACGATGACAATACAGAGAAAAGTCTTGCAGTTTTTCAACTCCATGTCAGATACGAAAATCGACAAGTCAAAAGCTACGGCACCTGGTATTCCCACGTTGTCCCCAACCGTAGTACTGACCAGGCCACCAGTGGCTTAACTGCGGAGATCGGACGGGTTCCGGTGCTTTTCACTGTGTATGGCCGTAGCTAGTTTGGATGGTAAAATTAAATTCTTTATGTAACTCATGCTCGATTGATGCAAGTCAGATAACGATATCATTATTGCACGCACTTCCCCCAATACCTATCCATCAACAATGTAGGAATCAAGTTACATCATGTGATAGTTGATTTGAAGAGTATAAACTATGAATTCATATCTCGAATATTACATATATCGTGTTATCTGCAGTGTTTGAGATCTGTCCATTCATTCCTGACAAAAACCTGTTCTTCAAGGAAATGTACCCGAATCAAACGGGATATTTTCATTTGCAATAAACGATTTCTGGACCAGGACAGTTGAAACGAGTTCTGTGTTTTATGCGAACTCGACCCACGATACATTTTAACCCGCCAATGGAGAACTCATTGTGCATGAAAAGATAATAAAATTGGTCTCGTACTTGAAGCATTATATCGCAATGGAGGCATTATACACCTATCGGCAGTAGAAACGCTGGCTGTGCAATAAGCAAATGTTGGCAATTCAGTCGTCAATCTCAACCAAAAAATGCGTTTTTATATATACAATAGAGTATAGAGGTTGGGTTATACAACTCAACCACGATTCAGTCGCGGGAAATCGTTCGGAATGCTGGGCAGGCCTGGGGGAGATTGAACGAAAACGAAAAGCTCATTTATCATCTAGCTAGCGTGGCGGAAAAGAAGTTTTATGAAGACAATCCGGGTTATGTGTATAGGCCAAAGAGGAGCGATCAGTCGCTCAAAATAATGACCTAAACGAGGCAGATGAATCCGAAGATCAAGGGGAATTTGGCGAAACTTACGAAAGACTTTTGTCTCCGTCGTTGGCGAACGTTGGAAGCATTCATTAGTGACCCGGCGGACACTATATTTTCCACAGACGCTTGGAATAGAATGGATTATAACTTTGTCTAACAAATTTGTGTTGTAAATACGTAACCATGTGATATTGATCGGTAGGATCGATGTTCTGATATGTATATTGTTACAATAGCTGATAGTAGCATAATTGGTACCAAGTTTACAAACTTTTACTAGATTCTTTAACATTGATATATGAAAAGACTCTATTAAATTTAAACTGTCTTCTGTACTAGCAGTAAAATGGTATGCACTTCCTGATGTTGTATGGTTTTTAATCGATTAAAAGTGGGTTTAAGCCGCTGCTTTGTCGATGGATATGAAAACCCAACATATTTTACTGCTACGCACTCAATGTATTATAAAAATACGTACAAGTTGACATAATATACAATACATGTAAATGTAGGCATAATCGATGGCAGGATGCTCGAGAGCCCGTACAGTACGTATCTATGCTTATCAGAAAGAGAAAGCTTTTTCTCTTGAACGGTATATCGTACACATAATAATAACAATGTTAATGGTGCGTAACATACGTGTCACATGTGACGAGACATGTAACATGTTACTTAAAAGACAATAACACGTGCCTGGTGGTCCGATACTTACGACATAATAATCATTGCGCTGGTCATGTGTACATTTAATTTTAATTATTTTAATTGTAATTGTAACGTTTTTGGACTTGGTAATTAGAGCCATCGAATCGTTTTAAACCTCTATTATCGCCGCCCTTGGAAACACGATAATTATATCTTTCTTGGCTTGCTTGAGAGATTTGAATAATATGAACACCTTTTGACGAAGGGCAGGTTTTTGTAAACACTCCACGACACATTACTACAACGAATTAACCATCTTCTGCTAGAATGACAATCCCAAGGGTGAATGTCTATCTGCAACTTGAATTTGCGTTTTTTTGTTAGTTACACCTACGATTGAACGCTAAGGGTGGGCGCAAAAAATCGAAGTACAACCCCCCAGTCTTGATTCAATTGATCTACAATCGAATATTCGTTGAAATGGATCATGGGAAGGGGGGGGATATTAATATGCGAAAATATTTCGCATTGATGAGTATTATTTTTCCTTTTTCAATTTTAAAGTTTACGAAAAACACATTATTTTTGTCATGAATAAGGAGGCATCCGGATGGTGCTAACCGCGGTAAACAGAAAGGGGGGAGAGGGAAGGGAGATTCTAGTTTCTTCTGTAATCTCTTACTGAATGCTGTAAAGCTTTACTTTAAAAAAAAGAAAAAGCGATGGATACGTCAACTCGATATAGAGATGAGGTTGTGAAACAGTAGCCATGGGTCATACAACATAAACATCCCTAAAATTCTATTTGGTGATCACTTTCCGTAAATTAAAATACAGTATTAAACGTTACATTATGACCCCTCTTTACTATCATTCGCAAATCTTATCAGTGGCGTGCTGAAGGCTTTAATAATTGCCAATACGTTGTATAGAGACACAAAATTACCCGCAGGCGAAACAGAGAAAATAGGCATTAATAATATGTTCCCCTTTTATTAAGAGTCTGAATAATCAACAGATATAACATAGACAAGAATGAATCAGAGAGAGGGGAGGGGTAAAAAAAAGCTTTGCTTGCATAATAACGTTCTACTCTACCAATACGTTTTCATTACATACTGTGCTTGCTGGATAACGCGATTAGCGACAATAAAAAAAAAAGAAAAATCAACTCCAATTCGCAATTCGAAGACCAACCCGTCTTCGTGTCCAATGCTCCTTCTCTCCTCCTTGTCTCTTAGATAATTACAACAGAAAAACAAATTATCAATTACACTTAATTACGATGGCTTTTCATTAAAAAAACTTTTAAATTTCTTAACGAAGTTCTTCCATCCTTTGTTCTTCTTCTCGCTTTTCGCTGCATCTTCCTTGTCAGTCTTTTCTTCGCCACCACTCGGTGCTGAGGTGCCTTCTCCACTAGTAGCCGGGACTTCACGTACGTCTTCTGGCGTTTCTGGAAGTGCCTTATCCTTGAGTTGTTCCTCAGTCGCAGGCGTAACTTCCGCAGTAGAACTGTCTTTTGTCGCTGGTGGTGGAGGAGTTGTTTCTCCGGTTGTTGTCGGCTTGTCAGATTCCTCAACCGCGGATTTACTTTCGTCAATCTTGGTATCGGCAGCTTCAATTACAGCGGCGGGAGTTTCTTCTGGTTTAGCCTTGTCTTCTGGTTTAGCCTTGTCTTCTGGTTTATCCTTGTCTTCTGGTTTATCCTTGTCTTCTTCCATTGTCACAGGCTCAACGGGCACCTCCTTGTCTTGGACATCCACAGGCTGCGTTTCTGCAGCAATTGGCTTTGGTGGTTCAGTCGATGTAGGCTCTGGGGTATCGATTGTCTCGGTAACTGTCGTGGTTTCATCCTTGGTATCATCTTTCTTGGCATCACCCTTCTTGGTATCATCCTTCTTGGTATCATCCTTCTTGGTATCATTTTTCTTGGTATCGTCCTTCTTGGTATCATCCTTCTTGATATCATCCTTCTTGGTATCATTTTTCTTGGTATCAACCGTCGTGGTATCATTTTTCTTGGTATCATCCGTCGTGGTATCATTTTTCTTGGTATCATCCGTCGTGGTATCTGTCTTCTTATCAGTTTCCACAGTAGTAGTTTTGTTTTCCTCGACTGCTACAGGGGTCGGCACTTCAGCGGAAGTGACTTCTTGTTCGCTATGGGAAGCGCTTGTAAGGGCGGTAGCACCTGCAACAGTAGTTGCTGCAGCAACAAAGTCGGCCATTATGGATAACGGGGGAAATTGAAGTCGTCGCTAATTAAGGAGGGGGGAAAAGACTTGGAAAAGATAATAAATCTCGTGCTTTCTAGATATATAGGCTGTTAAGTAATACTAGGCCATAAGAGGAATTTGTACATCATTATCGGTGTACAAAGGTTTATCTGAATAATGTAACACAATAAAACCATATTAATATTTTTTAAACATTATTAATATAAATTTCTCACATATAAATCGGCCAACTCGAAAAATGCGGGTTCTGCCTCCCCGCTCCACATTTGGATGCAAGACATTGAAAGCAATGCCAGCCTTCTGCAGCAATGAGGCGTTTGGGACAAGTGCACTCACAATGGTAGATCACTTTTTGTTTCAGAATCGGTACGTCGCTTATTTTGTGCATTGGCGGCGATGTGCAGTTTGATCACGTTTTCATATAATGTATGTCTCACCCAGGGTAATGGTGTGTTGAAAGATAAGAGAAAAAAAGCTTAGTGTTAAGAGAGTCATTGCTCTCGACATCACTATATTAAACCAAGCCTGTGTATGTAATGTTGTTTGTTTTTATGCATAAATGACGTCGGTGAGAAAACGTTTAAAAATTGACAAGTTTATAACGATCGTTTTTCAATTTGTGGGAATTTAATAACTCGAGCTTATCCCAAAATTTCACGAGCTATTAATAAAAAGAAAAATGTTTGTAACCTTCCCACACACACATACGCACATGCACGCAGATGTTTAAAACGCGACAGACCTCGACGAATGAGAAAGCATCACGGATCGAAAAAGTCTCGCAAAGCACACATACAAACTTTATTTAGTATTTTATCACGGAAGACTTCAATAAATACTCTGATGCGAAACAGCAAGAAAAATGACGCCTTTACTTTGCTAATTCAAAAACTCAACAAAAGCTTACAAATATGTATGTACATCTCTCTCGCACCCCATCCCCATCTCCACTGCGTATAAATGATGTCTCCCTTTGAATACATGATATATTCACTTGGAGTAATATTAAGGATAAAAAAAAATTCCTAGTTGATGAAAGATTGATTGATAATTCAGAAAAGAGAATATGATAATTATACGTTTCTGTTATTGTCTAGTAAACCATTGAGATTTTTCTGTAGAGACAGTATCACCCATTTGCGATGAAAGAGATATCTTTGTATTTTGTGAATAAACTTGCACATCGTAATAACAATTGCAATTACTTTGATTGTGCGGAGGGGAAAAAAAAGGTATTGTATCGATTGAGGGAGAAAAGCAACAAAAACGTGCCTCGGATCCATATGTTTTCGAATAGATAAAATTCATCCCAACAAGAACGGTATAACCGTCGTTGTCGCAAATCCAACGGCCGTTAAAGCCAATACACGTACTTTTCTTCGTTCAGCGGTTAGATCACGCTCGAGCTCTTCACAGCGTCGTTTTAAACCAGAAAATTGTTCCGTATCACGTGCATCAGATGCTCTTTTCTTTGACGGTGCTTCCTCCGTCTTCTCCACCTTCTCCTTGTTTACAGATTCGGCAGATTTTTCATTACTCTGCGCACAATTCTCTGGTATTTCTGTTGTGCTTTTTAGAGGTGGAGATTGATTAGTTTCACCTTCTTTTTTGTCGAGTGGTTCATCGTCGACCGACATTGCATCGTCTTCGCATGTTCCTTTTGTGTCTTCTGTTGAGCTTGTTACTGTTTCTTGTCGGACTTCTGCTTCGACTGTGGTGAGTTCGTCAAAGTTGACGACTTTATTGAGTTCGTTGAGGCTGGCGACCTTGAGTTCGTTGAGGTTGGCGACCTTGAGTTCGTTAAGATTGGCGGAAAGTATGTCAATGTCTCCTCGCGTTTCTGAAGCGCTCGGTTGTGGATATTCGGGTGATTGGATCTCGGCGAATGTAACTTTTCGTGCCTGGGTGAATATAATGCAAACATTCTAATGTCATCTACAGAGGACAACTCGATCGATATTGCATATTGGTGCAAATTTTGTATGTACCTTTCTACGTTCGACAGGATTAGAAAAAGAGAAAAGTAAAGCCGTATGTCGTTCGATTCCATAATCTTTGGCAAGACGTTTTGCTAAACAAAAGATATATTCCATTTGAATTTAATAAAATCGATAACTACGCAATTCATCGAAAACCACGACCAGTCGTCAACGCTTACCATACGTAAGCGGTACCCTTTTCATACGAAGAAGAGTTCAAAGAGCGAGAAATAGACAGACGGAGAGTACCGTGTGCGTGGCATGGTGAGTGAGCGAGAGAGAAAAAAAAGAGTTAATTGATTATAAACATGGCCAGCCGCACTATATTAACCTTCCTCGTATTAACGAAAAAACATACCAAGTCCCGGTCATATGGCCAATATTGCCTTCGAGCACTACATTTGTACTAGTCATAGAGTCTAGCCACATCATTTCTCTCTTCTCTAGTGCCTCTCCAGCAGTTGGATATGCTGCCCTAAACATATGCGTAGCGTTTACAAAATCGGTATCCAATCTTCTATATATGCTGATATCGCCACGCGGAGACGGAATTTTTACACATAGTACCGTTGTTCCCGCGATGACTAGCGATTGTAGAGGCGGTGTCGACAGGTTACTTGCCAACATGTAATTGCGATACCAAGGTAACTCTCTTAGCGGGCAAGGTGGACAAGTATTGACAACAGCTGCAGTAGCAGAGGCCATGGTTATGTTGATTTCTTTTTTCTGCTTCCTTTTTATCAAGTTGGTTTAAAACAAAAGCTCAAAGACAAAAAGGATTGATATAATGACGTGAGGAAAAGGAAAGAGAGATATATAGAGATAGGATAGAGATAGAGAGGATAAAGGGTATATAAAGGGTATATAAAGGGACGTTTTAGTTTCTTCCAAGAACAAAGATAATGAAAAGCTTAACTTTTTGGCAAAAAAGGGTGTCGCAGTGTTGTTTAAAATCAAGTGACTGGCTGTGCTTTGTAGGACGAAAATACCGAAACCGGTAATAGAACGCAGCTCGTTATTTAAATTCTCACACCAACACACTGAATTTGGTGAATGAATGATAAAATATGCTTAAACTGTGCCAAGTGCGTTCCTTCTTGCTGCGTCCTTCTTACCAAATATGCCCTGCTGTGAGATCATACTCTATAAAGAAGGAGCAGAATACTCCCCTCACATTAGCGTTAAGAGATAAAATAAAGGTATCGAAAATGACCGTGCCGTTCAAGTGAATCTATCTTGTAATGTATGCCGACGAGCCTGGTTCTTGTAGAGGAGCGGCACCATTAGTGTCGCTGAATATATGAATGAAGCCCTGACAGACTCGCTTCATGGGTACTATACCAAAGGCGATATGTTTGGTGTTGAGGGCGATTTCACCACTTCACCGGAAGTCAGTCAAATGTTTGGAGAAGTAAATTTTTTTTTCAATCTCAATCGTAATTACTTGACGATGCTTTTGTACTTACGAGTTTTTCCATTAAAAAATTCTAGTTAATTGGGATATGGTTCGTCAACCAATGGCAAAATTCTGGTAAACCTGCTAATATACAAATTATTGAGTATGGGCCTGGAAGAGGAACATTGTTGGATGATATGCTCAGAGTGGGTGCATAGATCATTGATTATTTTTTTTCTCGATTGTATTTATTTAGCTCTTTGTTTACATATAATATCCATTGTCTTTTATGCAGGTCAAAAAGAAAAGCCCGGTGTTTCTCGACCTGCATTATTTTTTTTCTAACCCCAATGAATTTCTCTTTTCTATTGGCAGGCAATGGCTAGCTTCAAAGACTTTTTCGGGTCATTAAAGAATGTCCATTTAATCGAAGTAAGCCCGGCCCTACGAAAGTTGCAACATGAAAAACTTTGCGGTGGCAAATCATCAGGCGCATCATCCTCTTTCGAGTTTGCCGGACCAAAGTTCCATTGGCATGATTCGATTAGAAATATCCCAGGTTAACAATCATTTGCGTTTATCACAAGTTTTCTGCTTGCCATCGCGTCATAGTACATACATTTAACTTTTGCTGCGTTGCGTTGTTGTACAGGCGTATGGTCCATGATAATTGCCCATGAATTTTTCGATGCGTTACCAGTTCACCAGTTCAAGGTAGTATGTGTATGGATTGGAAATGCAGACACGCTTGTACAAAAAACGTTAATTAAACACGTTCGCTATTTATCAAAAAGAAAACCAAAGATGGCTGGCGTGAAATTATGGTGGACATTGACGAAAGCGATCAAAGGTATGACTAATAAATATTGCTACGACTATATATAAATGTATACTTGTCAATCACATTAATAGAATTCTTCTTGGACCTTTCCATAATAGTACATACCACTTCCAACTCGTTACATCCTCGACATCAACCACTGCTTCAAACGTCTACACTAGTGCGCCAGAGTATGAACGGATGAGTGTTGGAGATACTATAGAAATATCTCCATTGTCATGGAACAATGCAAATGAAATTGCAAAGTATATTCACGACTATGGAGGATCAGCCCTCATAATTGATTATGGCAAGGATCATTTGCAAGGCGATACATTACGGGTAAGGATCCATATGCGCAGTATGATGACTTCTGCGCCACGTGAAAGACCAGATCATCTCCTACCCCTTGTTTTCTATTGGCTGATGGACTTTACATCCGGTTCATGTCCAAAAATATTCTTAGGCGGTGAAGAAACACCGATTTACCTCTATTCTGACTACGCCGGGTGAAGTCGATCTTACTGCAGATGTAGACTTTGCATATTTAAAATCTGCAGCTGCGGGTTTAGGTATGAATATCCGATATTGGTTTAAAAATATCATTACAAACAATTACTAAAATGTATTTATGCAACTAGTCAACACGCATGGACCAATAAGACAACGTGACTTTCTCGAGAAATTTGGTATACAATTGAGATTGTCCATGCTGCTAAAAAATACACCAAAATCAAACCATAGGATTCTTATATCAGAATATGAAAGACTTACATCCCCTTTATTGATGGGAAGTGTGTACAAGTTTATGTGCATGGTGCCACTTCGTTCACAGCTACCTTTTCCATTTTGAATATTGCTGTTTTATTATGCTGCAACAAAACAACCAGACAAAGTGAACATTCTATTATGTGACATAAATGAGAGGCTGATTATGATGTGGCTGTTAAATTGACCAGTGTGACTGATGAGTAATAATGGTGCTCATTCATAACTTATAGATAACGATCAATCGAAATTACTATGCCAGCTCACCCTGTATTTTCACACATTTCATGCGTACAGATTCTCCCCTTATCAACCTTCAAATTCAAGCCTTCCCATTCCGTATACAACTAAAATGCACAGATTTTCAATGCTACAAGTCAACCGATACCATCAACAGTACCAAGAACAAAACCAGACCTCTACTGCAGAACGTTCAGTTGTTTCAACGGCTAACAACACAATAACGCCATAGCGACCATCTACCCGCTTTCTTTAGCAAAGATTTTAAAGATCAATCGAACAATAATAATTATTATTGATGAAATCTCGATGGTATCGGCCCAGATAGTAAATCCTATCAAATGTTAGGATGGGTAACGTTTCCGATTATACGTGGCAACAGTTAGTAAACAAGTGTAATTCATATAAACCCCAATATTCACTACACAAACTCATCACCACCACACATATAGTTCCGCACAAAGAAACTGCAAATCAAATTAATCGCATCATTCATAACGCATTACCAGCCATATGCTATATCAACGATACAACAACCAATCAATTTAACACAATCGGATTTCAAGCTCAAAACAAACTTGCCACCATACAACAAGGAGCAAGAGTCATGTACTTAAAGAATTCACTGATCGAAAGAGGTATTTACAACGGCACAGTTGGGATTATTACCGCTACACTTTTTCAATCAAAGTAGCGTTTTGTATACAAAATGGGATGGTCCATGTCTTACTTTTATTACAGCAGGCCAAAAGCATCACGTACACAATTTCCCCTGCAAAATTCATTCGCACTTACAATACACAACTCACGCTGCCGAACGTAATTCTAATACTAGACATAACGTAATTTCTCCGCTGGTCAGGCATGTGTTACAATAAGTCTCAATATAATTGCCTAAATAAAGACCTCGAAACCTCAATATAATTGCCTTACATAAAGACGCATTCATTACGGACAGAAGTATAATGAAGAATACCAACACCTCCAACTATGGCAGAACAGTCATTTAGACATATCACTCTAGCTGAATTTAATTTGTTAGGGTGTACCGATACTTTACGGGTTATTTTTTGACTGATAAGTCGAAGAATAACGGGATCCACGTAACTATATCAGCCTTGAAAACCTTGAAAACCTACCTTGACGATGTCCGACAAGTGGAACGATTATTTTGACAAAGTTCAACCTAAAGACTACATACAGTTTTATTGGTTATTATGAACATCGTTCTAAGCAACAGATTTTACATTTTCTTTTCAGAAGGAATCCTACAAGTTGAAGGCAGATTTTGACAATCTCATGGAACATGGTTCACCAGAAACGAAAAAAGTCGCTAGTCAGCTGAACAAAAATTTCAAAGTATGTGCGCTATAGTTTTCTGTTAACGTTTTCCTGACACTACGTTAGCAGAGGGAGCTCTCATAGCTACGGTGACAACGGAATGCTGTCTACCTTATGGTCGGAATGTCTGCTATGAGAAAATGGAACCCTTACAACTACGGTGACAACGGAATGTTGTCTACCTTATGGTCGGAATGTCCGTTGTACTGCTTTCGTAGTGTGCAAGTGCGTGTAAACTATGGGCTATACTTTTACTACTCATTAATTTGTTTATTGTTCTTGAGGGCCATCGTCTTACTTTTCACAATGTCAACGCGTTTTGGAATAAAATCGAACTGAACAGAAAGCTGCAAGATCAGCTGCAGGCTGCAGAGGTTGTAGCTTTCTTGGTTGCTCTAATAAATTGGCGTTTTATTAATTCGCTTCTTTTATCGATGCAGGTAGAAGCCACTAGTTCATTAATAAATATCACCAAAGAAGCCTTTGCGACAACAATTGGAAACGTTCATTCTGCTGTCGAAAACGTCAACGATACACTGGTATGAAATACTATCTACGATGACGTTTGTTCAAAACTCATAATAATAATGGACTTGAAATCGGTTGCCAAGCAACTCAAGCAGACGCCATTGGAGGAGGTAGACTACATGTTCAGTTTTTTTAAATTTATTAATAACAATAATATCTCACAGCATACTTGCATTAATAGTGGGTTATCAATGGCATCAACGTCACAGATCGTTTTCAGCGTTTTCAGCAAACAGCTCTTAAAAAGGCTTCCACCACAGGGCTAACATGGGACAATCATTTAGAGATCCTGCATGTATTTTTGAAGTATCTAATGTCAACAGTGTGTAAGAACTAATACTAATGATCTTCTGCTAGTGGATAATAGAGCTTTATCTTCAATAATGGTGCTTTCAAGCACTTGCCCTTATCCTACTTTCACAGATGACGAATGGGAATCAGTTCTATTATTATTATTATTATCTAGATATTCTTTGAGAATTTTGGTGTCATTCATTTTAAAAATATAAGGCGCAATTTTTTCTCCTTGAGCTATTTTTAGAATGCTTCTAATGGTGCTATAATTCTTTGGTTCCATATAATCCTATATTGATCATGTTATGGTTTATATTCATCACATTCCAGTATGATAAAGTGAGCATTAAAATTAACAAGTCTATAAGTTATGAATGAGCACCATTATTACTCATCAGTCACACTGGTCAATTTTACAGCCACATCATAATCAGCCTCTCATTTATGTCACATAATCAAATGTTCACTTTGTCTGGTTTTGTTGCAGCATATGTATTAGTATGTATATATACAGTACATATGTATATAATTAATGTGATTATTATATTAACTCTTTTAATAATGAAAATAATTCAACTTTTTTCAGAGGCCTTCCTTTCTTTCTTTTTTACTAATCAACCATTGACCAGCAGTTTTGTTCACCATCTAGCTTTTCTTTTCTTTCCATGTGAGTTTTGTTTGGTTTTGAATTTTAATCAAAAATGACTTTCTTTGATGGTCTGGACTATACAAATTTGAGTCTTTTTTTTTTCTTTTCTCAAACATTTTCCAATTCACTGTTAAAACAAAAGCATGATAGAATAGAATGGATAAAAACCATGCTTTGATGATGCAGATTAAAAGATAAGGAAATTTTCTTTTCTTACAAAAAAAAAGTGTACTAGTACGAGTGAGAGAAGAGAAGTAAAAAAGACAAACAAACAAAAGAAAAAAGAACAAAATAAAACAAATAAAACAAACATCGCTATACAAAGGAATGAGATAGAAAGAAATTTGTATACAGAAATTAAGACTAGGAGAAAATATCTCCCAAAGTATTCTGTCAGGGGATACCTGCTTTTTTTTTTGTCAATGTAAACACCATGACATCAAAAAGATCAAGGTTGCGTGTCAAAGAAATTACTTATGATAATAAAATTTTTTTATAACGTTCCTCTTCTCGGCGGCTAATCCCTCCTGAATCTCAACCCAATCGGTTCAAGAATTAACAAATTATGCTTAAAGGAAGCAACTGATCCAACAAGAAAAACCTCAACACAACCCCTCAAAGCATGAAATCCACATAAGTACATGCAAACAGCCCATTAATCCGTAATAAAGAAAACGCTAATACCCGGAAATACAAACAGAATCCAAAACTTATTCAAAACACGATGCGAACGACCTCTTTTCGCTTTGTCACCTATCCGTCCATCTAACCACCCCTCCCCATACATACGCAACCATTCATTCAACTATACATACACATACATACATACATACATACATACATACATACACACACACACGTCCCTTCTTTCAATTCCCACTTCCCTTTGAATCAACGTTTAATCAAAAATTAGAAAACAAATGTCGGAACGGATCCGTGGAAGCGTTATTTCTACCAAAGCCAGTTTCTTCTTCTGTCGGTTCTGCATATTTTTCAAAATTGCTTGTATCCCCTGGATGCTGATACGGAGGTACGATCGGTGCTGCTACTCGTCTATCGTATAGACCTTGCCAGTCAACCTCACGGAACCATTTATGTCGCTTGACATCATCACTACCGCCACGTAGGTTTCCTAATCGTTTTGTGCGGTCAGCTGTAAGGAGTCGTTTGATTAGATCCCTTGCCGCATTGTCAAAGTGATGTGGGAATTGTAATTTTCCGGCCAGAATTTTTTCGTATATTCCAAACGGATTATCGTCGAAAAATGGGGGATAACTATATACCCAAAAGAGAAAAAAAAATATTAAAGACGTGAATAAAAGAGCGATTGTAAATAATAAGAAAACGGGAATAAATAACATACCCTGCCAACATTTCGAATATTAGAATTCCTAATGCCCACCAGTCAACTGCTTTCCCGTGCCCTTTGCTCTGGATAATCTCTGGTGCTAAGTACTCGGGCGTCCCACACAATGTCCAAGTACTGTGAAAATAATGTAAGATATTGTTGTAAATGGATGTACTCCCATTCAGCCCACACATCGCACACATCGCACACATCGCACACATCGCACACATCGCACACATCGCACACATCGCACACATCGCACACATCATACACATCGCACACACGCACACGCACGCACACCGCACGCAAACACGCACAACGGCACACACATACACGCCGGCTACTCCCTCGCTCCTCCCTCTTTCCCTTCTTTCCTGCGATTCTTCTTACCGATCTTCAACTTTTTTGGCAAATCCAAAATCAGTAATCTTTACGTGTCCTCGTGAATCCAATAATAAGTTTTCCGGTTTTAAATCCCTATAAATAATATCCTTCGAATGCATGTATTCTATTGCAAGAACAATCTCTGCTGCGTAGAATCTGGTAATGTCGTTGTGAAATCGTCCCGCTTTTCGTAGATGAGAGAACAGTTCTCCACCAATGACATATTCTAGTAACATGTACAAGTTCTTGTCGTCTTGAAAGGTGCAGAATCTGGAAAGAGTATTAATGTATGTAAATTGATTTTGATGAGAACTTTGAGATTGGTAAGCAAATAGAGAGAGAAAGAAAGGAAAACATTCAAAGAATAAAGTGGGTTATGTGTGGTTATGGTAGCGGCGGCAGGTGAACGTAAATACGCATGTCGGGAAATCATTTTCATGATGTTAACGAATTCTCTAAATATCGTAAAGGTATCTCTGTTGTTGTTTCTTTTTTGTTTTTCTTCTTACTCTTTTTTTTCTTCTTCTAAATAATACCATTGATCTTTTTTTCGTAATTAACTCACAAATTCACAATAAACGGGTGATGTACTTGACTCAGTATTTGCTTTTCCGAATTGATGTGCTCGACTTGCTTGAGCCGTACGACTTCTACCTTTTTCAGTACTTTCATGGCATAATAGTTCTCGGTATGTTTGTACTTGGTAAGAAACACTCGTCCAAAGGTTCCTGTGCCTAATTGACCGAGTTGAATACAGAATAAGGATTAGTTTGGGAAGGAATTGCGAGATTGAAATTAATGAAAAACGGAAAGAGGTGACGCCACTACGTTGGCAAACATTAAAGGATTTTGTGGGTGTGCTGGCTGTCAGTGTTCTCGAGGATGCAAAAGATACGCGTAACTTGTGCATTCCTCGTTTGAATTCGTCAATGCGCGTCTGAAAGCTTTTCATGCAGATTCTTACTGAATTCTGTCGCTAGTGATTATTCTTGAGACATTAAGGCTAAGGACGAACCCATTTGATCCACTTTTCTCTTTTATCTAATCTGATCCGCTCATAATCTAATACAAGAAAGTATACAAAAAAGAGATATACCGAGTGTTTCTAGTAATACAAAGTCGGGCAGACCGAAAGTCGGTTTTGAGATGTAGCTCGTGTGTTCGTGTTGTACTCGTAGCTGCGATAGTTGCGATGATTGCTGATGCTGTGATGGTTGTTGAATTTGTTTCTCCTGGGTCTGCTGTGTCTGTTGCTGTTGGGTTCCATTAGATTCAGTAGCCTGTGGATGGTGGGTGCCATTTGTGTACGGTTGGGACAAGTAGTTTGAGTCTGAGCTGACGGAACTGTTTTGTTGCTCGAAATAAGCATGAGAGTTCCCATTGATAGGCTTATCTTTATTCTTGGTCAAGTTGCTATTACTTGACATGGTTGGGTTACTTGATGTTCAAAAAATGTAAAGTGTGATATGAGTATGGAAGATGCTACTGTACAGAGAAAGTTTTTTTTTAAAAAAAAGAATATAGTTAATTATTAGAGAGTTCTTATTGGAGACATAAGTTTTTTTTACAGTAGTTGAGGGATATTGTTTAAAGGGGGGAAGTGTTATAGACGGTTGGGGGGTGGGTACTGGGTTAGTATTAGTATTTGTTTAGGGTGAAAGTAGAGAGGGGTTAATAGGAAATGACTACAAAAGGCTCACCCCGGAGACTTTTTAGTGTGATAAGTAATGAATATGGTAAGGGATGAAGACGATTCGGTCGAATTAGTCAACAGTGCACCTGTTCAGGATGACGAATCGTTTGTAGTATGTGATTATTGGGAAGGGGAGGAAGGGCGTCTTTTGATGATAGTATGTCTGTGCTGTAATCTGATTGGATGACAGTCAAATGCTATTCTTCTGTCGCATTATACCGTACAATATCTCTTTTTTTTTTTTTTTGCTGATCAATTATTATTAGATGGGGAACTCTAATAATGATTATGGAATTATCGAACCAAAATCTTCAGATTTGTGTCACAATACGGTTATAACAATATTAATATTAATATATAAAACATACTTTAATCGTTACTATTGCTATGTCTCGTTCTACCATATAACCATGTACGCCTAACTGATGGACATTGACTCAATGGGAATGTATGACCATTAAATAAATGTAAGCAAGATGAACGAGTAATAATGTATGTTGAATGTGAAATCACTTACTAGTACTATAATAATAAATGCTATATATCTGACAATGACAACAAATAAGTATATATTGATATGTAGTATCATGTGCAACCTCCTCACCCCTCACCCCTCACCCCTCATCCCTCACCCCTCACCCCTCACCTCCCCCCCCCCTTTCCTCCTCTCCCCACAATGATCACTTAATATTTTAGCGGAATAAAGTCTAAAATCGGTAATGGCTACTACAAATATTTATGTATCACTTATACAATCAAAATACGTATATGTGATATACACATATGTGGGACGTGCTCAAACAATGTAAAAGTAATCCGGTCTCTCTTTATAAACTAATGTTATATCCGTGCGATCATTTTGACAATTTATTCAAACAAAGAAGCATAGAGGATAATTGAAACATGAGTAGAATTCCGAATTTTGGTTGTCGGGCTTGGCCATGCATATCAACTTTCTGGGCTCGCCTTCAACTTGAGAAGACCCAGAGTGCAGCTCAATCTGTCAGTGACAGTTGTCAGATCATTACGTTTTTTGGTTACAAACAATTCTATGTTCGACAAGTGTTACTGGATATCAAAGCATATTATTGTCCACAGTCGTAAAGACAAATGCAAAAGGTCAAGTTGGACCGAAAAAGCAATGAACTGCAGTGATGAGCAACTTCCCTAGAAGGTTTGATGTGGATCAGTAACTTTGGAGCTATAATTTGTCGAGGGGAGGGTTTGTTCAGGTAAGTCAAAATTCATATTCTCAGTTTCAATACAAGCTAATTTGCTATGCTAAACGAATGGCAACATTAAAATATGTTCTAATACTGAGACAACATACTTGGAACATGAACTAATCTTACTACCCAAATACTGGCTAGAATACGGTTAGAGTACTGGTTAGAGTACTGGCGTTAGAGTATTGGCTGGTATTAGTATTCACTATCCTGAAAAATAAGAACACACATACGTTAATTCTTGACTTTTTATGACAGGCATTTTTATTAGCTGCACCTAACCCCATTTAATAGTGAGACCATTTTCGAAAAGACAGTAATAGTATGAATTTTGCATTTTATCTGGGAATTGGATCGCTAATATTTCCGATAATGACACGTTACTTGATCTTTAGATGGACAATATCTGTTAAGGGCCCTATAATATTTAGCGTACAATGGGTTGAACGGGGGAAAAAGCTTTTTATCTTGCGTTGTTCTACTCTTGAACCGATTCTTCTGATAGCGCATTCTTGAACCGATTCTTCTGATAGCGCATTCTTGAACCGATTCTTCTGATAGCACACTCATCAAAGCAATACCTTGCATCATATAAGAGCGTATCGTTGCCCTAAAGTGGCTTAAGTGTGATGCAGGATGATGATCATATCGTTCACTTTTATCAAAATTTGACATCGTTTGATTAAAGCTTCTGCTTAATATTAAAATTGATTAACATTCTTATTTCACATGTCATTAGCAGTTGTGCACATGCGAATACCGATACAATCGCTGTTTACACCTGCGTACTATGCGCCATGTATATCCGCTCCACTTATATGTGCTGGATATGCATGACATATGCATGTATACAAGTCGTTATTTTGGAACATAATCATCGTGTCTAGTGAAGGCGTTTGATAATTCGATTATACGTACGTATGTACCATGGATTCTCTTTTTTCACATATGTGAGCTTCGAACTTGTGCTAATTCTGGTTAGGAATTAAAAGCATGATTGGCTAGACTCGGTTTTAGATCGACCAACTTTCAGTATAATCACGTGAGTGGTCACGACGGTATATACCGTGTCAGCCAGTGTAGAATACAGTGCTTACTAATTGTCAGCTTTGATATTTAAAGTCTCATACGTACTTGACGTCATACTTTATCAAGCGCGCGCCATTTTGCTCAACATTCGCATTTATTTGTTCTCCAGGAAATAACTACATTTAATTATGTTTTTTACTACAACATTTTTACGACACCAGCCTGACACATGTAGGCATCCAACTATCGCCAGACGCGCTAATCATTAATACGTATAGTTTTTTGCTATCGGTTTAAAATTGAAGTAATTCGATAATAGTAAAATAATAATACGTTGAATCATTTTAAGGGGATTGGCAATCATGTACCTAATAAAGAAGGAAGTGATCTCGATAAATCTTGCAAGATAAGAGATATCTGAAAACAAACATGCAGATGAAAAAATGATCTCAAGCAAATATCCAGAATGTTGCTGATTGTGTATTACTAAGCACAATACAATAATGACGTTTTATTTATACATTGTCTTGCTTAAACCTAATCGCCTAATGATAGATACGCAGTATTATCGATCGATTGATTGATTGATTGATGGATCGGGTATCTCCTTCACATGAATGTGTTCCCATCAATACCTGTATCAAATCCTGTTCAGAAAATATCATTACGGCTGTTGCCAACAAACTCATGATTAGTATAGAATTTTGCATTTCCAACATCCAACACGAAGATGGGGACCAGGAACAGTTCTCACACGGAAAGCCCCTGGTTTTCTGTCATGTAAAAAATTTACAAGAGCATGAATTGTGTGACTGTCGTTGTGCGTAATTTAAGCATATTAGTTCTGTGATACGTGGATTTGCTGCAGCTTGCACATGATAGACAGACTACATGTGACGCGAAACAGGGCTTGACTCATATGGCCCTGGTAAGATAGCCTCTCCATATGCAAGTTATGATCATAATCATAATCGAGATGCAAGAACTAAAGTTTCATTTTGAGCATTTTAACTGCTTTCCACAGAATCTGTTGTACAATATAGACGGCACATCTTTCGGAGGTTTTCCATTCTTTGACGCTAAGGGGATTGTCCACTCATTATCTGATCCTCATTATAACAACTATTTACGGGAGTAGACTGGAAAATGACTGGAAAATGACTGGAATGATCAAAAAAGATAATTGCATTCCCGGGTTATGATTGTGCATTCTATTAACTAAGCAACGTACGTTCGTATTACTATGCCCTCCGTGAGCTGATGTAATCACTTGATAACATTTTGGGGAACAAAAAGTCAACAACCCCCCTCGTCTTTTATTGCCAATAATAAATATTTTTTCTTACCGACCATCGAAAGCGTCTTTATTCTATGTTCTATTAGCTATAAAGTCTACTTACTAGATTTAAACTCTTACTCACTCACTCACTCATATACAAAGGGTGAGGTAAGTTTTCCGTGTTAGTCATTGTAGGCACTGGCTCTGTAAGCGATACCTTCCTCCTAGCACCGCCTGTGCTCCCATTCCCCCCAACATCCCCATCCTTCCCCCTATCGTTTCCTCCGCCTTTCTCTCCTTTCTCTTCATCATCTCCCCAAATTCCTCCAAAGCTTGTAATTGGTGGCGTGGCCAAAGGTGATGATGAGTTCGATCGCACCCTGCTCTCGCTTATTGCCGATCTCAACCTTGGCGATGAAGGTGGCGTAGTGCTCGCGCCATTCCCTGATCTCCCTTCTGGCGGATACGAACTGTGACCGTCTCTCGACAAGGCCGAATTCGATGGTGTCGAAGATGATAATGACGAGAATGCGTTAGATATAGCTTGCCAGGGCCGGATCGTTGGAGTTGATGGTGTCGATAGTGATTGGAAAGAAAAAGTATTGGATGAGGAGGGAGATGTGTTGAGAGGAGATGGCACTACTGATGTAGGCGACAATGGAGATGATGGAGGAGAGTAGGATGAAGATGACGATCTACTTGGGGAGTCACCTGCATCCAGAGTGTTTGTTGCTGTAAGCGATGTCAGTTCTCGCATTGATCCATTTTCCGGAACATTGCTTCCCGTTGACTCGTTCGGTTTTCCATTGATTGCTATCGATCGTCTCTTGTTTTCTGCAGCAGCCTCAACAGTTCCTGTATCTCCGCTGACTTTGGCAGTTAAATTAGAATAAGCTGCCGAGCCCCAATTGAATGTAACTCTAGCAAAGTTCTGCACTAATTCTTTGGCGTTAAGATCACTGCCACTTGACTTGTGCCGTATTTTCCTTTCGGATTCATTATCTCTCCATGGATCATATAACTGATATGGTAACAACGAAGAGGGCTTTATGTGCAGGCTACCACTCCCGCTTAGACCGTTATTTTCGTGTGCACCAAATGCCTCGCTCATTACATTCGGACTAGATGATGAACGAGGTATCGGGCTCTCCGATCTCCATCTTGGCTTATTATCGAATCTATCATCCAGAGTATCGTCATTATTACCGTTCAATTCCTCATCCTTCTTACCAAACAACCCGGCCCAATACTTCAAATCACTTGTCTTTGTCTTGGGAAATAATACTGCTCCGTCACCCATCAGTTCCTGATCCTTGGCTCCTCCATCATACGATTCATTCGTAAACTCTTCTGCTTTTGAGTTGATATAATCCCACAACGAATTGGTGGATGCTACCACATTATACTGTACCCGCTCCTTTTCCGAGTTAAACAAAAATGTCCCAAACTGACATGAATACACGTGATAATGCAATTCAATCAGAAACTTCTCATTGAACCCAAACCTATCTGGAAACTGACACAACAACTGATAAACGCAATCTAGAAATTGGTGAAACACTGGTGAGGTTTCTCTAACGTGTGATTGATTATACAAATTATTCATTGACATCACTGCATTCTTGGCATTGTTGCTTGATATTGTGATAAAGTATTTCTCATTCGACAGGTGCCCTGAGCGATCACTGAACTTGTGGCCGAACGATACCCAGTCTTTTTCGACGAGTACTTGGAATCCACGAAGTGTACGATAGTAAGGGTCGAGACAAAGTTCAGCTATGGATGTCAATTGTGCCGTGCGATCCCATCCGTCTGAGCAATGGACTAGTACGTGTGAGTTGAAAACGTGGATATGATTAATTATGATCACGGCTGATTCGAGGAGGGTACTTATGTGCTTGAGCCAGTTGGATTTGTCCAAGAGAGAAGGTTTTATTGGGATTTGCTGGATATCGGACGATTGGATTACTGGCAGGGAGAGCAATTTTTATACAAAGAAATAGAGGATAATAGGGCGAAATTGGATTTAAAAAAAATTTTACGTTAATAGTCATCCCACACAAAAAGGAAACTCCCAAAGCTCTAGTTTCTACTTTGCTGTCCCCAACAAAAATCCTGACATTAACAAGTCTACCATCAACCATCTTCGCCAGCGATTCTCTCATCACATGAATATTATCGATTCCCATGTGCTGTTTCTGGCAATTTTTATAATTCTCCATATGCTCGGTTCCTGCACCCATTGCTCTGTTGGCCATGGCATTTGCAGTTGGACGTGCGTCTACGATCAGATTGCGTTGTGTTGATCCGTAGACTGTTTGTCCAGCAATAGTGGGCATGTTCGTTTGGAAGATGGCTTCGATTAGCCTCTCGTCTTGCGGAGAACGCTTCAGTTTTATTCCAACCATTGGTTGGCTCGAGCGTGTTATAGAAGACTTTTCACATAATATAAGGTTAGAAAAATATCGAAAGAGTTTTGTTATCAGCACAGAAAGGCGGTGGGTAGGCAGAAAATGTAAAATCTATTATTGTGGTAATATTTATATTGTACTGTTTCGCCAAGTGATTCGTAATTGACCGATTACCTGATTCGCCCAATGTAAATAACTCAAAGTCGGAATCCGA